GCTGACTAGCAGGCTCCCAGCCATCCTGGGCACAGCTTGGGGGCTGGGACGGGCCAGGGGCTCCTCTAGCTCTGCTGGCTGCCTGCCCAGGGGGCTGGGGGTTGTGGGGGGGTCAGGCGGTGTGGGCACAGGCTGATTGCACGAGTCCCTCTTGAGCAGGGATTGCTCCTGGGACAGCAGCTACGTGTGTCCAGGGACCTCCGAGCTCCCAGGCCGATTGTGTGGCATCAGGACTGGTCCTTACAAGCCCATCACCAGCCTCCTGGAGCCCCTTAGCCAACTGCGGGATGGGGACTGTAGTTCATTCTCCTCCTGCCTTTCCCCAAGCCCAAAGTGGAGCCGTTTGCCCAGCCTGCCCTCCCCGTGCCGGGCTGGAGCCTTGCACCCAGCCCACACGTAGGCAGGGACCCTCTGCTCAACCGGAGGGCTGGGAGCCACGACCTGGGGGCAAATCCCTGTGAGGGAATGGTGGAAATGCAATGCAGGCAGCCGGCCCAAGGCTCGCACCGCGCTTACCAAGCACTGCGCCACAGTGTTGCTCCTTAAACCACACCAGCTCCCTTTGCACAAGGCATTCGCCTGGTTGCAGCATGGCCACCTCCTTCGCATGTCCTCGGTTTTTTTAAAACACCCCCCCTGCCATAGCTAGCTCCAAACTCACTTCGGCTAAACCAGAACTGAACCGAGACAAGGTTTAAAAGACCTTCAAGTCCTCCCGTAGTCTAAGAAAGACCAAACCTCAGAGAAGGTCAGACAAGGTTCGCTCTTGCTGCGGCGAGGTGGGGTCTCCTGCAGAGCACGGTGACGTCCCGCTCCTGCAGACACCGGGGCCCATCGCTGGGCGATGCCTTGGCTCGCGAATGGCTGGCGGCCCCAAAAGGGTGGCTGTTTCCCCGGCAGCATCACCACACCGCTCAGATGGGATGCTCGTTACAGCCGGGAGTTAATCGCACAGCAGCGACGGCTATTGTTTCTTCACTTCCGCTTGTTATTTCCCCTCTCTGCAGATGGGGAGATCACTTCCAAGCCAATGGTGCTATTCCTGGGACCGTGGAGCGTCGGCAAATCCTCCATGATAAACTACCTCCTCGGGCTGGATGACACTCCCTACCAGCTCTACACAGGTACCACGCTCACCGCTCCCTCCCCGCTCCGCCGAGGGCACGTTGGCACCTGCACTTCTGCATCTGTGCGGTCAGCAGTTCCTGGCTGCATCTCTTCGATCTGCCCCCCCTTACGGCAGGGAGGTTGCGATCAGGGTCCATGCCACCCAGCTGCGGTACCATGCGGAGGGAGAGGTTCCCCACCATGGCCCAGGGCCTGTCCGTCCTCCCCAGGGAGGGGGAGGACATCTCACCCTGCAGCATCCCCATCCCGCAGCACAGGGCTCACCGCCTCTGATCCTGACTGCGAGAGAAGCGGTCACGTCGCAAGGGCAACTCGTCCTTGTCTTCTCCCCTTCCCTTCTCACGTGGAGCCAATTAGTCCACCGTCCCAGGAGAAAAGCCATTCCCCTTCCCTCCTCCTGGCTCCCACAGATGTCATCTCACAGCTGAGGGCAGATGTCCACGGCTGGGGTAATGAGGGCTCCCGGGAGGTGGTTCTCCAGGGTGCCTTGTGCCATCAGGCCACTTCCAGAACAACCATTCCCCGCAGAAAACAGCCCTGCTAGCATCTTCTCAAGAGGTTTGGCAAGAATTTCATGGCCCCGCTACTTGCTTTCCCCCAGCATCTCTTGGCAAGTGAGTGATGCTCCTGGGCTCCCCGGCTAGTCCCAGGCCAGCCCTGTCATGTCCATTGCCCGGCATGAATTTCACAGCTCTGCTGCTCCTCTCGTTGCTGGGCAGGGGCAGAACCCACCACCTCCGAATTCACTGTCATCATGCACGGCCCCAAGCTGAAGACCATCGAGGGCATCGTGATGGCTGCTGACAGCGCCCGCTCCTTCTCGCCCTTGGAAAAGTTTGGGCAGAACTTCTTGGAGAAGCTGATAGGGATCGAGGTGCCCCACAAACTGCTGGAGCGAGTCACCTTTGTGGACACACCGGGCATCATTGAAAACCGCAAGCAGCAAGAACGAGGTAGGGGTTTACTGGGTTCATCTAAGGGACTCCAGAAAACATGTCATAACGATGTGAGTTGACAAAGATGGTTGAAGCACAACGGGGAAGAGCCCTAGGTTACAAAAGGGGTCTTGCATTGGAGGGGATGGTGACACTTGTCTGCCCATGGCTATGGCAGCAGCAGCTGGGGCCTGGGGAACGTACCCGATTGTCATCAGCTAGAGCAGCCGTTTCTGCTGTTCGGAGGTGTGACAGTCAGGCGTTCCGGCAAGGTGTTTCCCGGGGACTCCTTGGGCTGTTGATTGTCTGCCTTGGCTCAGCATTTAACGCCCTGTTTGTCACCCTTGGAGCCAAGCTTTGCCAATGGCTGGGGCTACAGCAGGGCCCAGAGAAGCACCATCCCCACAGCACCTGGGATGCCAGGACAGATCAGCAGGGCTTCTTGACCTACTTGGTGCCCACTGGGGAAAGCAACGATGTGGCCGATATCTGCTCACAGGAGCAGCGGGAATCTGTGGCCAGCAGCAGGGAGAAAGAAGGTTTGGAGGTGAGGCTGAGAGACACGCAGGCCCAGGCACACAGGGATGGGTTTTCATGCCAAGAAACTCTGAAGTGTTTTCAGCACATGAGAAACAGGTTCTGGGCTGCACGGGAAGTCTGCTGTGTCTCACACCCTGTCCAACCCAGACAGGGCGTGAGACACGGCAGGCTCAAGGTTTATCTAACCCTTGACCTGAAGGGACTCATCCCACGTTGCCCATTTCTGCTGGATTTCTCTCTTTCCTCTCCTCAAGGTTACCCGTTCAACGACGTGTGCCAGTGGTTCATTGACAGAGCTGATCTCATCTTCGTTGTCTTTGACCCTACGAAGCTGGATGTGGGCTTGGAGCTGGAGATGCTGTTTCGCCAGCTGAAGGGCCGCGAGTCTCAGATCCGAATCATCTTGAACAAAGCTGACAGCCTGGCTACCCAGGAGCTCATGAGAGTCTACGGTGCCTTATTCTGGAGCCTGGCTCCTCTCATCAACGTCACAGAGCCACCCAGGGTGTACGTTAGCTCCTTCTGGCCCCACGAGTACCATCCAGATACCCACAAAGACCTGTTCCTCAAAGAAGAGATATCGCTCCTGGAAGATCTCAACCAGGTGATTGAGAACAGGATGGAAAATAAGATCGCCTTCATACGCCAGCACGCCATCCGGGTGCGCATCCACGCCCTTTTGGTCGATCGCTATCTACAGACCTACAAGGAGAAAATGACCTTCTTTAGCGATGGAGAACTGGTGTTCAGGGACATTGTGGAAGATCCTGACAAGTTCTTTATCTTTAAGTCCATTCTGGCAAAGACCAATGTCAGCAAATTTGACCTCCCCAACCGCGAGGCTTACAAGGACTTCTTTGGCATCAACCCCATCACCAGTTTTAAGCTGCTGTCTCAGCAGTGTTCCTATATGGGAGGGTGTTTCCTAGAGAAGATCGAGAAGGCCATCACTCGTGAGCTTCCCGATCTCTTGGGAAGCATCGGCTTGGGGAAGAAGCCCAACGTTCTCTCCTGCGACATCACTGGCTGTGGCGAAACCCCAAAGAATCGCTACAAGAAACCCTAAGGTGTTCTGTAATATAACCGTCCACGTGTTCCTACCGGTGAATGAGCTTATGTCTTATCTGTCCAAGAAGCCATGGTTTGTTAACCCTTTGAGTGCCACCACTGGCAAAGGCTACTGTACGATGAGGACTTTGAGTCATTGACATCGATGGCAGGGGAAGATGGGTGGGCATAAGAAAGAGAATAAAAACTGTGAATTCCTGACATTTTATCTTTGTTCTTTCGAGTAGAAGGCAATGTTTAAGCTGTAAGTATGAGCAATGCACGGTGAGCTAGAACTGTAGCTGCTTTTTCACTGGTGCCAAGAGTGCGTGAACAGGAATTTCAACCTCTGCATCCCCGAAGGCGGCAGGGAGCGAGACCGAGGGCACGGCGTGAGAGCACAGGGGAGAGCGGTGACACACTAAGCCGGGGCATCACCGGGAGCCCCGGGGGCAAAGCGCTGGACGGGGAAAGAGAGGCCAGGTCCTAGCTGTTGTTTTCAAGCACAAACATCCTATAAATCTCTGCAAATATTGATCTTGTTTTTCTTTCCAAGACTTTTAGGTCACCCAATGAGTTCTCCTTTCGCATAACAGCTGAGTTGAACTTCTGCAGCCTTCACCTGGGTGTTCGCCTTAAGAAGGGGCTTTTGCAGGGGCATTTGTAGCTCCAGAGAGGTAGCCGTGATGGGATTGGCAAATCCATGTCAGAGGAAGAAGCGGGCTGGAAAGGAGCTGCCAGCACCGGCTGAGCTGTGCTGGAGAAGGAGGGCCAGCACCCCGAATCACACCGTCCTACAAGGAGCCGTAAGCAGGTTTTCCTCCCCCTGGGCCAGCACAAGGACAAGGCACTTGGTGCCCCTGTGTGCCATCAACCTCAAAAACCCATGCTGGCAAGTCAAGCCTGAGGATCAGCAGGTCTCCAAGGGTTAAGGGTTTGGCAGTTTGACCTTGTTCAAGTCCATGTTGCTGTTTTCTCAGAGTCAGACCCCCGTGTTTTTGTGCTCTGTGGAGGGAGGCAGGAACGGGCGGTCACCAGCTGCATCCTTTTTGCCCATCTGCTGATCTGTTCTCCCTAGGACAACCCAGGCAGGTTTCTCTGGCTTGTTCGCCAAATTTCCCCCATTTTAGCCATGATTTTGTTGGCTCATCTCTGCGCATCAGCCCTCAGTCCTGGGAGGAGAAGGAGTATTGCTTCGGAAGCACCCAGGCAGGGTGAGATTCCCCGTTGACAGCCAACCTTGAAACCCAGCAGTGAAAGCCGGGGGATTAGGGGTGGCCTCGTCACTTGGCCCTTGCCTCTGGCCTGCTGCACGGCTGGCTGCTGAGCCGAGCACAAACCAACCAA